GAAAAGCAACGCTTCAAATACTTTTAAAAGAACCTAAAACTTGTGTGAAGGGATTTCCACGGACGCTGAGTTTGATAATCAATTTTGTAAATTTGAAGCTTTCCAAACGCTGTAACCACATTTGTTATTAGGTTGGTGCAAAAATATTTGCGATCTCTGACTTTGACGTGCTATAACTTTTTGGAAAATCCATATGTTGAATGCGGTGAAAACCTTAACAAGCAGCAAACCTTTTGCAATGCATGGCACACTTACCCTCGATATCAACCCATATGTCTTCCCTCAACATGACGTGGATTACTGGATTGATGAGGCGCCGCCTCGCTTCGGGCTCGCGCCACGTTGCGTGCGCATTTTCGGCGTGATGTGGCAACAAGAACAACGTGGAAATGCCTGCGCCACGTAGTTTTGAGTGCCACGTCGCGCCATGCGATGCGCTCGCAAAGTGGCGAGAAGCGAGGCGGCGCCTCACAATCCACATAATCCACGTCATGTTGAGGGAGGACATATGGGTTGATATCTAAGATACTTGTACTCATATCACAAACGGGCAGCAAAATAAGGATCAACAAACAAAAAAGGTTTTTTCTGAAACCTTGTTGGGCAGTTCATAACTCCCTTCAAAGTTTTTTAGTATGAATAATAAGCGTCCTATCTTGTAGCCGCAAGCCAATAGTACAAAATACGATGGGAAAGTGTGGAGAAAAAAATTTGCGAGGAGGATTGAAATTAAAATTTAAAATTGTCAGTTTTTTCAACATTTTTCTAGTACGCCTCAAATTCCTAAATGCAGAATTTTCTGATTTTTTTGCTTGCTGAACAGCCGAATATTTTCGGAAAAACTTCAACAATATGCCCTACCCTTACGCTTACAGAATTGAGCAAAGCTTTGACGACTGACTCTTTCAAAAGAAGTTTGTGGGTCATAAAATGACCGCAACGACTACCCATGTTGAGGCACCATTATCTCAGTCTGGATAACTTTAAAAAATACAGTCGAGTATACATAATGTAGGCAATTTCTGTAAGATACAATAGTAAATTTTCGAAGAAGCGCCATGCATATGAGCTCGAATTCTGGCCTGGAAAGTGAACGTAATAAAATTCTGATTTTGGTTGCGGTTATTTGAAGCTCTGTAACTTTATAACAGATGAGGTAGGAAGCCCGTTTCAAACACCGTAGTGGACGAAAATAGCTTGCTACTCATATTTCAAAGAAGAATTTTTGATGGGAGAAAGTTGCCCTGGAAAAAGGCTTGAATTATCGGCCATTACTTTTGCACCAACCTAATACAATACCGCTCACAGAATGTGCAAAATTTCCGTGAATGTCGCAGAATTCCAGGAACTCCGCGAAGGTTCGCGAAATTTCGCGAAATTCATGTGAATCACGCAAATTAGGCAGGACCATGACTTCTTTCCGAATGAGTTTATGCGAAATCCGAAAACAGCATTGTATTCAGCTCGTCAAGGCGAATCTTTAGGTATACAGGTTGTGTCCAATACCTTGTTTTCAATAATCTTGAATTTGCACGCGGACGCCTCTTTGCATGGTGGTAACGCAACGAGCATCACACATAGGAGACTGCCGTGGGCACCGTTCGATAGTACTCTTTCACTAGACTATCCAGCGCTAAACAGCAGCCGAAGACTCTCTCTAAAAAGAGATAGAAGAGCTGCTAAACTCTGGAAATCAAGCTGTTTCAAGTTCTACTAGCCGTAACTTCCTTCAGAATGAACATTTTTGAAATCCGAAAGCGGCTATGTGTTCATCTTGTCAAGTAGAATCTTACTATGTACAACATGCCCTTAAATTCCGTTTCCAATTTTTTCAAAATTTTCTGCGCGCGTATATTCACAAGATCGCAACGCAGCGCACATCAAACATAAAAAACTCCAATAAGCACTGTTGGATTGTGCTGCTTTCTCAGATTATCGAGCGCTAAAAAGCAACCGGAGAATCTTCTTGAAAAAAGATAGAGCAGCTGGTAAATTCTGGAAAAATCGCGTTGTCTCAAATTTTGCCCACCGAGACCCTAAAATGAGAAGCTACTGCTAAGCAGATGTGATTTTCGTAATGAGCAGGTCAGATAACCTCTATGAGCAAGTTTTCAAAGAAATTCGAGTAATTCGCGAATTTTATGTTCAATTCGAAAGATCCTTGAGATCTTATTGTATTGGATCTGGTGGTTGTGTGTGCCTGAGCCCTTAGTTGAATATCAATGCAGATTCGTGGCTACAGCTCAGATCTATTCAATTACTTCCAGTACAGCAGGATAGATACCTTGAGCGAAGTGAACACAAAATTGGTGACCACAGTGTCTTGCAGTCACTTAGGTGGAATTTCTACGAAGCAGGCGATCTTTACATTCTGGACAAAACTCATGAGGACGTGATTCGTAGGCCCCTAAGTCGAGGATTGCTACAGATTGAAGCCGGATGCATGCACCGTTAAATAGCACGCTTTCTAGTGAATTTAACCTACAAAGGCAAGCAAGCAGATTTATCAAGAGTTGCTCGAAAAATGCAGGCGAATCTCCGAACTTGCGTGGCTTAGCTAAAGTTCCCTCACCATATCTCTGCTAGAAAACTCTGTACTCCGCGCAAAAGACGATTATCGCAAACAGCGTGTTCGAAAACCTCTTTGAGCGAAGCTTCCTTACAATCCGAGATCATCGACATTTTGACCAAAACCCATCGGCGAGCTTCAGGACCTAGAACGAGAAAAAATCAAATTACTCGAATTTCTTTGAAAACTTGCTCGTGGAGATTATCTGACCTGCTGATTACGAAAATCACATCTGCTTAGCAGTAGAGCTTCTCATTTTATGGTCACGGTGGGCAAAATTAGAGACAACGCGATTTTTCCAGAATTCACCAGCTCCTCTATCTTTTTTCAAGAAGATTCTCCGGTTGCTTTTTAGCGCTCGATAATCTGCGAAAGCAGCACAATCCAACAGTGCTTATTGAAGTTTTTTATGTTTGATGTGCGCTGCATTGCGATCTTGTGAATATACGCAATACGCAATATACGTAATATACGCAGAAAATTTTGAAAAAATTGGAAACGGAATTTTAAGGGCATGCTGTACATAGCAAGATTCGACTTGACAAGATGAACACAATGCCGCTTTCGGACTTCAAAAATGTTCATTCTGAAGGAAGTTACGGCTAATAGAACTTGAAACAGCTTGATTTTCCAGAGTTTATCAGCTCTTCTATCTCTTTTTAGAGAGAGTCTTCGGCTGCTGTTTAGCGCAGGATAGTCTAGTAAAAGAGTACTATCGAACGGTGCCCACGGCAGTCTCCTATGTGTGATGCTCGTTGCGTTACCACCATGCAAAAGGCGTCCGCGTGCAAATTCAAGATTATTAAAAACAAGGTATTGGACACAACCTGTATACCTAAAGATTCGCCTTGACGAGCTGAATACAATGCTGTTTTCGGATTTCGAATAAACTCATTCGGAAAGAAGTCATGGCCCTGCCCAATTTGCGTGATTCACATGAATTTCGCGAAATTTCCGGAAATTCGCGGAATTCCAGGAACTTCGCGAAATTCCCGAAATTTCGCGAACCTTCGCGGAATTCCTGGAATTCTGTGGTATTCACGGAAATTTTGCACATTCTGTGGGCGCAGTGGCGTACCGAGGGGGGGGGGCGGGGGGGGGCGCGCGCCCCCCCCGAGAACGGGTCGCGAAATTTTTGAAAGTCACTTACATGGGTTATAAAAATGTGCAAGTGACTTGTTTTTACTTGTAAATAATTAAAATAGTTTTTAAAATTTTTTAAAAATTCATTTTAGCCTTATAAAAAAAATTTTTTCGGGGGCGTGGCTGACGCCACGCCCCCTTTTTCCAGATTTTAGGGGTCGGGGACCCGGAAAAATTTTGAGAAGCACCCCAAAAATTTTTTCGGAGTGCGTGGCTAACGCCACGCACCTTCTTTAGAAAAAAATTTTTGTCGCGCCCCCCCCCCGAGCCGAAATCCTGGGTACGCCACTGTGTGGGCGGTATTGTAGAATCAACGAAATAACGACTGCTACAGCTTATCTGGCATAGCTTTTCAAGGAAGCATTATGATGAGCTACAAAGTTCATTTTCAGAATCAGCAACTCTAACTCCTAGTGTAGGAGCTGTGCGCTTTATTTCTCCTCTGAGACCAGATAAATATATGGCACTCCATGGATCAAACCCCCATCAAAGCTCCTACCGTCCCACCAATAATGAAGCGATCAATTGATTCGCTGATTCGCTCAATACTGTAAATCTAAGTTGAAGTCAGCTCTACAAGATGGTGTCCAAAACTTTCCGAAAGACTTCATGAGGAGAGTCACTAGCAATCGAGTAGGACATTATTTGGGACACGCTGTAGAATTACCCGAGAATTTATAAATACAGATAAGCGACAGAACGGGAACGACATAAGCTGCGAAAAGATGGGAAGGCAATCGCTCAAAATCAAATCACACATTTTGCACCTAATTACGTCTAAAAAATTGGACATCAAATGCATGAATTTTTGACCAACTGTCTTAAAGAGATCTGTACCGGACCTAGTTACTATTATATGATAGTGACGTTGTCGAACGCAACGCTATCAGATCGAGTTCCTATTCTCAGAAATAGTTTAGAATCAATAAAATGATCAGCTAAGCAAACGCGCTATTGTCACACTACTTAGTTTCGAAGAAGTGTAGTTTTCATGAGACACAAAGAGTAAGTGAGCGAGATGAGCATACTTGGTATGTTATCGTACACTCCTATGTGATCACATAATGAAAGAATGCATTAAGAGGAGAGTAAAAGAAGAAAAACTGCTGTTCAAAAAGGATGAAGAGGCTAAGTAAACTCTAACCAAGGATAATTATGAGCCGGAAACTCCGTATTAAACACAAGAGCGTTGAGAAATGCTTTATCAATCCAAAAATGACATTGAAATTGACGCTCAGCACCAACATGATATACATTAAAAATATACATACAAACAACATGTGATAGATTAAAAATCACAATACAGGAAATGACAAAAATCATTAGCCCCAGTGGTCATCCAGTTGTGCTTCTTGAAAGCTAGATAGGCTTTCAGATGCCAGCCATGAGGGGACAGAACAGTCTAGAAAGATACACATCAAGGATATATAGGGTTGATAACTACATACTTGCATGGTTGTTCCAATGATGTTTCATCAGTGTCATTATCTCAACCCACCTCTTCATAAATTTCTTACCTTCACTTTCTCCTCCCTTTCTTGCACTCCCCCCCCCCTTTTCCCATACTCACCCTATCACCTCTCACACACTTTATCTTACCCTCATCTTCACTGTTAAAAACACACAACAATTATTTCAAAAATTCGTTGCAGTTTGAAAGAAATAGTTTGACCATATCGAATATGCAACTGCTGCAAGCACCAATAGAATTCTTTTTTTTGGCACAAGTTTTGCTCTAGTTAAACTCAAAAACATTGTCTCGGGGTTTTATCCTGTACGCACTAGTTTATTCTCGCCGAAATGGAGATGTCTTCTGTGACAATTTTAGTCTTGAGCCAGTATGCGACACTACTACATCGCTACTTTTTACGTAGTTAGAGATGGTTGATATCGCAAAATGTCCAGTTAGCATGGATTATACATATTTGCAAATTATTTCCATTTCATTTTCAATTCCAAATCTTCAATCTTCTCGCGAATCTCATGTTTTTTATTTCATGTGACACCACGAATACATTGCCTCGATAGCTGGAGTATATGTGGTCCAAAAGTCCATGTCATTTTTAGACTAATCCACAAATCCCTTAAAATATAGGGCTGTACTTCAAAACGTATTCGGTGTGGAATTTTATTCCTTCCCTAACATGTTTTCGGCTCGTTTCTTGCGGCGACGTTTACGCATTATTTGAAGTTCAAAATCTATCATTTTCACATTTTCATCTACCACTTCGAAGTGGTACACCGCAGTTCTCAGGCTACCTTTTCAGATTTTTTACGAAAGTTTTTTTTGGAGCGACTAGATTTCTAAGATGTAGGCAAACCTTAGAATGAAAATAGAGAAGCGCTAGGCATCTTATGATGCAGTTTTGTCCTCTTTCTTATCGCTATATTTGTTGCCAATATATGCAAGATGTGCAAGAAATTGCCGTATCTCTCAAATTTATGTGTAAGTACGGCCGCACCAAAAATTTCACGACTTTCTATTCTTTTGCGCAGCAATCGTTTGAAACTTTGTAAAAGAGGTTTTTATAATCGAGCTTTATCTTTTTTTTGGAATTTTCTCAGCATATGGGAACTCACGGATTGCGCAAGACCCCTGGAATCCACGATTTAAAGAATTATTTCGAAGAAATCGGGAAGGCCAGTAAAAAATGCGAGATATGTTACATTATCCAAAAGCTCAGCTCTATCTTAGTTACTAAAGCCTACTCGAACGTCCGAAACAGAAATTCTGTAATGTGCCGGAGAACCTGGATGAAACCTTGGGAAATATCTATGCACTTGTCGAAGGAATTACTTAACAAAGCAATTGAACACAGTCTAAAGTACTAGTTCATCTTTATCTTAAAGCTGCGAATTATTCCAAAGAAGACTATTGCGAACTGAAGCTCTTGATTAAGCGTAGGTGAGCTTTCTATTTGCTGTGGATAGCTTTTTTTGTAAATTTGCAATTCCCTGGATATTATTCTAATTTACAGAGAAAATGCTTCACGCATAGATATGAACTTTTGACCCTTCGAATTGATTTTGTTCTAACTCAAATTTGCCCGTTCTTTGTTGACGATTCGTTTGTCAGCATATATGCGTAGCTCTAACAAGAATACCCGCTACTTTCGTTATAGATTTTGAACTATTCGAACTCCTTTCGTCATAGATTTTATACGAAAAGCTTATGTGACGAATCACTCTTTTTTACTTTCTATTTTGGCCATTGAGAACCTAACAAAGTTACCAGGAAAAGTTCTTTATTTCCTAACCTTGTTTATCCGTAGATATGTAAACCTCACCTCTAGGTATGTCGATGCAAGCAGCTTCTCTCCCATAACCTGCTGACTGGAGGGGTTTTGGACAGGGGTCTCTCCTGTAACATAACTGCTTTTTTCGTGAATCAAGCTATCTTTCCACTTAAATCAAGAGTCTCTTTTTCTCAGCAGTATAGAGTATGTAAAAAAACTCACTATCAGAACCTCGTTTGAAGCAGAAACGGCGCTCTCCTTTATAATATCGCCGGAGCGGCAAACCTGGAAAGTGTGAATTATAGAAGCTTTACATCAAATTGGAAAACACCAAACGAACGTACTTTTCTAAGAATTCAACATAAAGTAGATAAAAGCTGCAGTTGTGAAAACGCGGAATGTTATTCGTTTGGAGGATATAAGACTGTGTTTTGAGACACTTTGAAGGAAACGAAAAGTGCAATCTTTTCTCATTCAATCCCGGAGCAGCAAATTAACTTGGTCTCAATCAAAGAGAGAAACTTCGACGATTTGTAGCCTTTTGCGAGTTTTAAACTGGAACAATACTACGGTAGGAGTTCCCTTGATGTGGCAGAAACTAAACTCAGTTAAATAAGTGGTCAATTAGTGTTCATTTAGAAATTATATCTGCTCGCAGTTCTTCTCAAAAAAGAAGAGTGAGAAACTGGGCGCGCCAGATTTTGGTAACCCTACCAGTGTATAGGTCCGCAAAGATTTGAAAAGTAAAGAACTAGATGAAATAAACAGAAACAAAACGGCAAGACAATGTACGAGATCCAGTCCTTGACAATGCAGGGCCTATCGAGAAACATCAAGGTACAAAGATCTTTGTCTTGTCAATAGGGATATTTCTAGAACAAAGCCGGACAGAAATGGGCGCGCAAACCATATTGACCGGGAAGATCGTTGCGGATGTTCTCAAACTGTTCCATATCCAAACTAATTGAAAGCAATAAGAAAGGGTGGCGGTCAAGATGAACGATAGCATGTGCCAGCCGCCAGCTGGGTTCTGTACGCGGTGCGCTGATCACTCCGCCCCCTTAGCCTAGGAATGCGTTGCGCTATTGGAAAACTCTCTAATACTTCGTTCATGCTTGTGCAGTTGGTTGCAATTTGGGTAACAGTAGATTTCAAAATTTCAATTAAATTGAAAATCAGTTTTCAGATCATTTTTCATTATAGATTAGTTCGCAAGCTCTTTTTAATGTATTTCAATTATTTGTTCCTAGTAGGCTTGTCCAAAATGATTTTTCATTGCAGGTATGAGAAAATTGTTTCGAAAATGCTTGAAAAAGTGTTTTTCTCCACTCATATTTGTTACCACATTGAATATGCTTTGTTGTGCACTCACAAGTTTAGTTTAAAAAGAAGTCAGCTTATCGAGAAATACTTCTCAGATTTCAGGACAATCATACTGCACTTATATATTTTCGAATCTGCTTTGAATAACAAAATTCTTTCAATTTGCTTCCAAAAACTGCTATCCTCAATATAAATCGATCTGTAACTCAATCGAAATTGCGTGATAACTAGTCATAAGATGTGAGGTCACTCAGACAATCATGCCTGAGGTGTTCTAGATTGATTTAACACTTCAAAGGTGGATATCCAGGAGTCACTCGGTCATTCATGGGTAAATCAGCAAATCTATCGAATTTCACGACCAACACTCAGCTATTCATTGATTGCCAAAAAAGAGAAGAAAATCAAAACAAATTCTGTAAATAGTCAAGCTTCACCGCAGCTTGCAACAAGCTTGTATCTCACTATCAAAAGTTATTTTTACTTGACGGTATCGTCCGAGAAACTCGTCCGCCGCAGTAGGGCGGAGCTTCGAGCGAACACGTTATTGCCAGTTCATGACCCCGCGCGCCACTAGTACCAGCTATCGTTCATCTTGACATATACCCAATAAGAAACTGGCCTATTTTCATATTTCTTACAATGAAACAGCATACAAAAGGTTAATGTCCTGTGAGTTAAGATATGCTGTCTCATACAGGGTGTCCCAAAAAAATGTTAACACTGTTTGATCGTTAATAACTCCCTTAACTTCATGTCTTTTGGTGAGCTTGAGGCACCATTCTGTAGAGCGAGGTTCAACTTAGATTTACAGTATGGAGTGAATCACCGTTCCCTCTTCGTTACGGTAGGATTACGGTGGGAAATTCCAGCATGTGGAAGCGTCGTGAAATATGCCCTCTGACAAAAATTTTTTCAAAAAATCTGAACAATCGTGTACTAGGGTTTTCGCGCACGCTGATTTTACTACACAACTTTTTACGAGTTTTTTTTCAGCTTTTTTGACGATGTAATCACATTTTTTACACATGCTGGAAAGTCAGTTATTACACTTTACCTACCATAACTTTGAAAAAAAGTATCATAATAAAATGGAAACTTCATATTTGAAATTAGCGGCTTTCATTACCATAGTACAAGAGATTTTGGCTTGTTTGGCTCTGTTTCGAAGCAGAAAATGGCCTTTGATGGCCTAAAATCCTTGTCAAAATTTCTACCGTAATTCTACAGTAACGAAGAGTGATTGGTGATTCGCTCTATACTGTAAATCTAAGTTTATCCTCGCTCTACAAAATGGTACCTAAAGCTCGGCGAAAGACTTGAAAGCAAGGGAATTATTAGCGATCAAACAGTGTTAACATTTTTTTGGGACACCCTGTATACGTCCAATTCAAAAAAGCTCGAAAATTCTGACTGGTCTGACCATGTGACACCAACAAAAAGCCACTGCAGCCGTTGTCCAGGTTGATCCTCGACTTTTATGTCATTTTCAGACCTTTTCATAGCCTTAGTTTTGAGTACTACCCGATAAGCGTAAACAACCAGAAGAGAACTCTTTTTGCGGCTCTCTTCTAAAACGTAGATGGTGCCCAAAGCTAAACTTATCACGAAAGTAAGTAGGAGCGCAGGTACGCAGAATGCGTATGGGTCGTGCTTGCACAGTAGAATTGATGACATTCGAGTAAGTCCATTTCTTGGTTACTGAAGAGAAGAAGGGGAGGGGGGGGGGGGGGGAATGAGAGAGGGGATTTTTTACCACAGCTCCCTTATTCTCGTAATCATTGGCAACGACATAATGACTCTCTGCCCTTTCCTAGATATGACCTGTTGACTAAGTTCTGAAAAAAGGCTTCAAAAGAAAAAACTTCTTTCTTCACTGCAACTGAGAGACTCTAGTAGGTGCGAAACTAAAAAAAGAACGGGGTTGGCGAAATATTAGAAAAAGTTCCGCAAGGACGATGTTTTGTCTAAATTTTTCCCCCACACTATGAAAACTGCAAAATGGTTGCATTATTTTTGTCTCAGCCATAAAGCTTCGCGGGACGCTGACAGTTTTAGGTTTATTTTGTTTCTATGTTTATTTTGTTGAAAGCAACTAGTCGTGTAAATTTCAAATTTATGAAGACATCTTCTACACTGTAAGTTCCCGCTTTTCTGCTCAAAGCGATCCCAAAATTCAAGATTTGTGGAGTCTTTCAATCTTTGCATCACTATGAAATGCTCATATATTTATGAAATATTACAACTGGCTCATCTTTTGATCAGTTAACGTCTCAGATGTATTCAGTACTGAACCAAATTTGGCGTAAGAATAGGTAGTTTTTTTATCTAAAGTAACTGAAGTTCTTTGAGTGAAACTTTGGATAAAATAGGTTTTTTCCGCAATATTTATTATCAATGCAATTTTGTAACGTATTTTTGATAGAATATTTCACTCGTGTTCGCTATTTCTGTCATATAAATAGTCAAGTTGACCCGGGAACAATGGTATGAATCCCCTTACCTACAAGCGTAGTGGAGGTTCTGAATTATCACGAAGGGTGGGAGGTGCAAAGTAGATATGGAATTCAAGAAAAGGCCCCCCCCCCATCAAAGCGTCAAGGGGACTCAATAGGCGGGATCGGAGTTACGCCCACTGATGTGGGTGTGGTCACCGGTGGGCCCAGACAATGCCTTCGATTTCGTTTGTAAATTCGCATAGCAGATACTAAACAGAAATGAAATATGTCACGCACTAACCGGGTTCGTTAGTGCGAGGGCGGATGTCCAGGTGGGGATCGGGAGAGTAATAGAAGAATTTATTAGAAGACTAGAAATAGCAGACAATAACAATGACTAAAACAACGGCCGGGCGGCCTTATTTATAGCCGCCACGGTACAAAGTACATGGTCAAGATCAAATTCAATAATCATCGCCTATAGGTGCCACGGCGTCCATCCTTGACATGCCCCTCCGTCGATAAGAGTCGTCCCGACTCTTGACTTGTGCATAGTGAGGATTGACCCTTGGAGACCAGAAAACTGACGACAGGTCTTCCCCACCTCCATAGAAGGAGTGCTGTCGCACCATTGATGGCCGATTTCCACCCTGGCTACCCGCATCGTGGCAATCATCTACCAAATCAAGAGGTTGTCCTTGCATCCACCTACGACTATACCTGAAAATAGAATTAAGGGGTCTAATGCGATATTTGTGGCTCTTAGTACGTGATTCAGCACCAGACTCGGTTGTCTTCACGTCATTTCTTAAGCTAGAGCATTGTGAATTTCGATTAAGTCGATTCCTGGCGGCTTTTGACAACCTGCCTCTCTTGGCTCTTTTGAGCTGTCGCTCTAGGGACCGCACAGGATTGCAGATCCTCGTGTTCTCCCCCGCCACGGTGAGCTTGGCCCCTGCCAAGTTAACGCCGTGCTGAAAGCGACCGCTCCTGCTTTTTGTACTCGAGGCTACTTTACAGTTCGCGACCTCTTCCCGTACTCCTTTACGATTAGGAGACATCCCGGTTAGCGGTGCAGTCTCGAGCTGTTGTTTCCGCTTTTTCCGTTTTCTTGGAACACCGACTTGGACGAATTTTTCGACAACTGTCCTTCTTGTGCCACTATGAGTGTTTCTCAAATCAGCGATATATGGCCCAAGTTGCGGTAGCGCATTTGTTCCGAGCACAACTCTGCCATCTCCTCCCTCTCTAACGAAAAAGGCTACTCTGTGCTTGGTGCCACTCTCGACTTGCAAGGTGAGCTTCACCGCTCCCTTGAACTTTATCCGTTTCCCGGAGGCATCGTATGCGGAAGGTAACTGCTGAATCGGGATTTCTTCAACGTCCGCGTTCAGATCAAATCCCTTTCTCATGCTCATCATTAGCAATCTCAGGGGGATAATGCTGATTTGAGAGCCTGTATCTACCATAGCTCTTTGAAACAATCCCAGCAAACGTACATTTAGCACCATTTGCTTCCCAAACAGCTGATTCTTCCTCGATCGTGTCCTTGCCGAGCTGCAAATCCATCGATCCAAAGATGCTGTGAAGTTACTTGGGCACTGTTCAAGTTTCTTTGCTGACGCTGGGGTTTTCCTTTCTCCACACTCGCGACTATAATGTCCTGGTTTGTTACAGTTGTAACAGCGTGGCCACCTTTTGCAAGATGCTGCCAAAGTATCTTGCATAACACAATTTTTTCCCACAACTGGAGTCTGGCTCTCGTTAACGGATGTATCGGCATATGCATTTAGCACGACTTGTTCCGTGCTTTGTTGCACCGCCATAGCCAACTCCCTGCTACGTTCGCAGCGCAGCGCCATAGCTTTCACCAGTTCATACGCGCATTCCCTCGGCGCTGTCTCTACGGTGGTGAACATCTGGAAGTATTCAGGCCAGTCCCTCAACTGCAAAACCAATTCTGCAGCTCTTATCCATGAGAGCTGCTTGTCTGTGGTGTCTGGATACGCTAACCGCGTAAGCCTCTCTAACTCAAGACAGAAGGCTGTAATGTCCTTTGTTATCCGCAGATGTTTGAGTTGTACATACGCAGTTATCTGATCAGCAGACTCATTTATGCTCCATGTGTTTCGCAGTGCTTCTACAATTTCTTCGAACGTACTCTCCCTTATCCTTGCTGATACTGTTTCGGC